CTCCCTTCGCAGCGCTTTCCGCGCGATCCTCGCAAAAACCAGTCTTCCGAGAGGCGAGAGAGCTCTCTCCTTCCCCTCGTCCCGGCCACGCGACACGGACGCGTTCGATGTCCGAGAACAGTTAATTGGAGCGGGGCCACTTGGCGGCATCCCGGTCAGCTGCGGACGAGGGCGTTGGTGTTCTCGCTGCCCTTGGGCTCCGACGCGGGGACTTCCAAGTTAGTTGCATGCTTGCCGTCTGTTAACACATGTCAACACCTGTTTTAAACTCCCTTAGTTGGTCGATGCTTGGTTGCATTATGAATCAAGTTAGGTTTCAGTGCCGCGAAGGTACCTGCCGTGCATGTACACAATTATGTAATTGTCAAGAAAAAGAAGTCGTTTCAGGTGAAGAGCGGCTTGTGTGAAAACTGAAGAGTCGTGATAAGAAAGAAGTCTGTTTAGGGAAGGAAGTGTCTTATCGAAGAAATATGCAACACTTAAGAAAATACACTTCTATTCCTTAATCCTGTTTATGTACTGTGTACATTTGTTACCACTTAATATTATTTGTATACTGTTTGAAAAACGCATTAAGTTCGCAAAATGTGTGAGAAACTATTTTGTGAAGAATTGAAATAGATTACAGTAAGCGCAAAAAAGTGATTGTTCGCTTATAACGTTAAAACCTGTAAAGTCTGTTAGAACGAAAAGGGAAGGTAATAAAAATGTTTTCGGCGTAAAATACAAATGAATATTAATTTGAATATAAATCTATGTATGAAAGACAAACACTTGGCAAATGTACAAATAATATCAATAAATTAAAAAAAATGTAATCAGGCCTGCAGATTAGGTGCAACAAGTCATCATACTCATTTAGTCGATGTAATGAAACGAAATTATTCTAATAGTGCACGTACAAACTATGGACCATAAAACTCAGTGTTGTACTCATAAGGATCAACGGATCCTTAGTAGAAAGTTGCCACCACATCGTGGGAGGTGAAAATGGACAGCAATTGCACATAAGCTAGTGGAGCTACAAGAATAATAATTACAATTGCACAATAAGTGTAAGTCTGCAAAAGATTTGTACTTGTAAATGCACAACGTTCAATCAAGGTTTTGCATTCATAAAACAATGAGAAGTCGTCCCCGAACGGGGAAAACAGATGTATTCAGTGAAGCAGTGTGAAGTATCTACAAGAACAGTGGTCAGTAGAAAAAAGGGCATCAAGCCCCGAAAATGTTCTAAGTGAGTAATACAAATCACATAAAGAGATTCAATTTTGCAAATCTACCGACATAAAGAATCGGATTTTTGAAATTCAGTAATTAATGTTTTGTATCTTCAGTAAAACGTGGAATTCGTTCCTTGGTAGTCTGATTTGTATGAATGCGTCAAGGGTGGATTGTCTGCATGTAATTGATGGTGTGATAATACGTACAAAAGATGTGTATTCACATTTTAAAGGAAAATTTCCTCTTTAATTCTTTGGAAGTGGTATTGGAATTCTTATCGAAATAACTTTCTGTTTCAAAATGACAAAGACCCGAAACAACGCTCTCTATATTCTATTGTGGCTCCTCTACAATGTCAAAAACAAATTCATACAGTTCCTCAATTTCGTCATTAAGCCTAAAGAACATATGTGGCCTGTTCTTGGAATAAGTAAGGTGTCTAATAAACAATGTCTGAAACATGATCTCCTAAGAGAATGACGTTTAATGATCATGCGACTGGCAGAGTTGGTGGAATCTGTGCTACAATGACTGGAATCAATCATCAAAGCAATTAGGAAAGCCACACGGTATGAAATGACGTAATATTTTTGTTAAGATGTCTTTTGTGCGTTCAAAATCACTGTATTTTATTTTGTTGCTAAATATCAAGGAATGCGAAATACTTTGAACTACATATGGGAATAAAAAGTAAGTTTTATGTAATCTCAATTGTTATCTTCATATCTAACATCTCGCTCGTAGTTTGTACACGTTTTGTCCACTTTCCTTAGATGTATGATCACTTTATGCACTAACTGTAGGTCTAATTCGTTTACTTCATCTCAGTGTGAAAAAAAAAGAAGATTAAGATTCTTTTTAAGTAGCAGTTAATTTCACGCAGGAAGAATTGCGGCTTCAGAGAAATGACCACCCACTTTACGTCGTTGGATTTGAAGAATTTCATCGAATAGCGAAAAATGTCCGTAAGCCCAGTACAAGTTTTGCGACGAGCCAAGAGAAGAAAGGTCATTTGGACCTTTGTAGTCGTTTGTTTGCGTCATTCCCTTTTCCATATAACTTCCACGAAACGCCAGGGGTAAAATGGAGGGCGCCGAGTAAGCAAAACAGAATTATGACCGGCCCTGTCTTAACTAAGATGTCTCCCAGCTCCCGCCCAAATCCCAAATGCCACCGAAAAGCCGGTTTATGCAAG